GCTCCAAGGATGTCTCTATGACAGCCCGTTGAAAACAACCATCGAGCCACGGTGTCTTTTCGCATGTTGCAAGGAATACTTTGACTTGTTTCAAGTTTGTCGTCATGTGCCAGTTGTACGGCTTCAGTGCATCGTCTTCAGTTGGTGGTGAGTATGGCAAAGTTTCTACCTTTATATAGAGCCTTTGGTTGCGAGTTTTGTTTGGCAGCAAAATTACGAAAATTACATGCTATTCAGACAAAAAACTACTGTTCTTGAGTTTGCGCGGAAGAAGTTGGACAGTTAGCAATCGTTTCCTGCACAACAAATATCAACAAATCGTACAACAGTTGTGTGGAAGCTAAAAGTCAATGCAATTCATGAGGGGCCGTCACACTTAGTAGTAGATTGGAGGCCATCGGTAGTAGGTTGGAGGCCATCGCTAGTACGGCCAACAGCGGGGTAGGCCATAAGAGGTAGCCAATAGCTATTACGTATTGGCATTGGACGCTCCTAGAAACTCAAGCACATCAATTCCGAGAGCTCCAGCGGGAAGCTTGCTTAACATGATGCTCCACATGACACCGCAGAAGTACGTGACACCCGCAAGGTCAGAATCTCAGTATTGAAGCCGTTCGGCAAAATACTTAAATTATTTTAAAAGGTTTTATCAAGGTGTAAAGAAGATAACGAAAGAAGAGTAAGAAAGGAAACGGAAAAGAAAAAAGAACTGTGCTTGGACTAAGCACATGTTGGCACTCGATTGACGAGGTATGTATGGCTGGAGACAGGCGAGCGTCAGCGATCAGGCAAGAAGGTAAGACGAACAACAAAAAGAGATGAACAAAAGAAGGTCAGGGCTTGAAGGAGCACTTTGATTTGGGCCCCTACTTGAAAGTGGCCCATACCACTCTATTCACACAATGCCACAACTCAGGCCTCCCACGCAGGCCGGTGCGAAGATTGCCAGCCATTTTGCCCAACGAAATTGATGTTTCAATGGTGTGGTCAATATGCAAGTGCATTACTACTAGTAGCAAATAGCTACTAGTAGCTTCTTCTTAGTGGTAGTAGTAGTAGTAGTAGTAGTAATGTCGCTGTTACTAGTAGCGATGCACTTGTTACTATTAGCTTCTTGCCTTAGTGGTTGCGGACTTTTTGTTTACTTCTAATTTTGGCCTGGGGGGGCAACAGGGGGGGTAGGCCGTAAGAGGTAGCTAGATGTAGCTAGTAGCTATTATAGGTATTGGACGCTGCTAGTAGCTGGACGGAAGATGGCTCACCCTCCCACTATTCATTTGGTTCCTAGAGTTGTGGAAAGAATGATAGAAGAAATGCATCGCTTTGCGTTTGTTTTTTTGCAATGGCTGCCATGTGCTTGATGTGTTTCCTTGGAGTCAGGATCGAACGAGCCTCGATGCCTGTGCGTGCAGAGCTTTGTGCTTGCTGTGCTTACCTGCCCCAGTCAACTAAGCGTCTTCTTCAATAACTAAGCTGGCTTTCAGCATAACTGGTGAACGTTTTCTTTGTTTGAGAAGTGATAAAACCTCCGAAGGAGGTTGGCAGTTGCCATTGTCCACTCTTTGAAGGAATGCATTGCCGCATAATACATTGACTCATGTTGACAAAGGACAGCTCAGCATTTGTTCTTTCGAGTTCAGGTGCATGCCCTCGCACTGAACTGCTGACGCTACGACAAGAAGTCCAGAGGCACCAAAGAGTTCAGTCTCGGAGCGACGCTACGAACGGAGCAAAGGGCACCGCTACTAGGGGCTCCTGGCCTTACTACTGGGAGCAAGGACGCTACTGGGGGCTCCTGGCCTTACTACTAGGAGCAA